TTATATTCCTCCCATTCTTAGGAATAAATTACTTAAAATGGTTCATGATTCCCCCCTAGCTGGACATCCTGGAATAAAGAAAACACTTGAACTAACTTCACGATATTATTGGTGGCCTCGCCAGGATAGAACCATTGCATTATATGTCAAAACATGTCCTATCTGTCAAGGGTCTAAACCAGAACATAATCAACCTTTTGGATTACTACTTAACTTACCTATTCCAGAAAAACCTTGGCAATCCATTTCTATGGATTTTATCGTTGATCTTCCACCTTCTCAACATTTCACCACTATTCTTGTTGTTGTGGATCGCTTCACAAAAATGTCCCATTTCATTTCTTTAAAAAAATTACCCTCCTCTGTAGAATTGTCTAAGGTCTTTATTGACAATATTGTGAAACTTCATGGTCTTCCTGAAGAAATTATTTCTGATAGGGAGACACAATTTACCTCCAAATTCTGGAAAGAGATGTGTCTCTCCCTTCAAATTCAACGCAAACTCTCTTCCGCTTATCATCCCCAAACTAATGGGCAAACAGAAAGGGTTAACCAATGTTTGGAACAATATCTTCGATGTTATTGTTCATACCTCAAAGATGACTGGACCACATGGTTACCTATGGCCGAATTTTCTTACAATAATACCATTCATTCTAGTACGAAAATGACTCCTTTCTTCTCCAACTATGGTTTTCATCCGTCTTCATTCCCCATCCAAACCATTACTTCATCCAATCCTACTGTTACATCAAAAAATGAATTTATGTCTTCTCTATTTTTCAAATTACGGGAGAATCTTCAACTCGCCCAAAATAACCAGAAAAAGTTTTTTGACAATAATAGAAGAATTCCCCCTCCTTACAAGGTAGGGGATCTTGTCTAGCTCTCTTCAAGGAATATTACCACAAGCCGTCCTTCAAAGAAATTGAGCTCTCTTTTTCTTGGTCCCTTTCAAGTAATTACTATCATTAATGATAACGTTGTTAAACTAAAACTTCCTCCAAGTTTTAAACTTCATCCAGTATTCCATGTCTCCTTACTTAAACCACACATCCCTGATCCTTTTTATAGAGAAATAGTAACAGCTCCTGAACCTATCATTGTCCAAGGTGAAGAAGAATATGAAATTCACAAAATTTTGGATTCTCGTGTCCACCGTGGCTCCTTACAATACCTTATCAGATGGAAGGGTTATGGAGTTGATGAAGACACTTGGGAAGATTCATCTAATGTACATGCTAGGAGGTTAGTTACTGCCTTTCACAAACGCTATCCCTCCAAACCGAAATAGTGCACCCAGAGGATGCCCCATGAGAAGGGGGTACTGTCAGGTATAGCATAGCATGTAATTTATCGCCGGAACCCACTTCCGGGTTCACGGCGCTCAGCCCCGCCCCTTTCTCTGACGCGGCCCCTCCACGATACTTAGGAGGACCGCGCCAGATTCAAAGGGCTGAATTATTCGCACAGGTGCTGCATGAAGATCAGCTGCTCTACTTCTGATCCTACCTGCTCCACTTCTATACCTCGGCTAGTAAACGGATTTCTACCTTCTCCACTTCTCGGCCTCGGCTTGTAAACGGATTTCTACCTTCTCCACTCCTAGACCTCGGCTTGTAACTCTGAATTCTACCTTCTCCACTCCCAGACCTCGGCTTGTTAAAGCGGACTTCCCCACTCTCCACTCCTAGTTCTCAGCTTGTTGAAACGGACTTCTAATTTCTCCTTCATTGGGTGAATTAACCCTTCCAGTGCCAGAACTGCCTTTAAGTTAAGTAATACTTTTACCAAACAAGTCAATTACTATTATTTATATTACACAGTATCTAAAACTTACTAAAGTGTCACTTTGTCTAATTATTCCTCTTACTCATAAGGGATTGCTACAAAGCCTAATTTTACCTACATGGATATTTAAAGGTACAGTGACCATAGTTTCATACCAATATAAAAGGAGGTGAACCTTATTGTTGTTGCAACCAAGAAATGCTGCAGTTGAGTTCCAATTAAAGAAATATTACAAAATAAGTATTACAGCCGGTGCGGGAGATCTTAGATCTCTCCACTGGCCTGTCATGGAAAACAGTGGGGCTGGCGCTCAGATAGTGCTGGCCCTACATGGACCAGCCCGATGGTAATTCCGGGACTGCTTATTACTACTTTTTATTTTAAAAGATTCAAACACAAGTCAAAAAGCAGGTTGTCAACACTGGAAGCCAAAAAAACCTAACAACATATGTATGTTCATGATATTACAAAGTAGATTAAAAAGTAAACATTTATTTACTAAAAAGTTATTTACTAAACGCAGAATTTTGTCCAGATGGACACAATTTGGTGAAAATTACCAGATTCTGTAGAGATTTGCAATACTTCCTAAGGCCATATCTAGTCGAAATTCGGTCATTCCAACCAAATGAACAACAGTCAGTCTAATCCATTTGTCTGGCTTAAATTTAGTATCATTAGCATGAAAATCATTTATCAAACACCAAATAGATAGACACAAGATTTCAAATGAAGAAAGATACATCTGGTATATCAAATGATCAAGATTTCAAATCAAGACAGATACATCTGGTAAATCAAATTATTAAATTAAATTTATTGAAATCTGGACTTCAGAGGACACATAGGTTAAAATAAAAACCTTGTCAGTGTGAGGGTTAAGTTTGTGGTGGCTGGCCAGCAATTGCTAACAAGCTACCACAGTAAAACATTTAAAAATGCATATAATTATAGGAAGATTCACACTTGATATGGTGCAAGTGGGGGCCGAGCTATTAAACGTTGAGCGACCCGCATCTGTTCAAAACTATTTCTCTGGGCAACTGGCCCCCACTACCAATGTGCATGTGGTGAGAGCCTAAATAAAATTGAAGTAGGGACACTCAAGTGTCTTTAGCCAATCATGGGCTGCGGGTGGGGGTAGGGTTGCCACCAGGCCGGTATTTTACCAGCACAGCCGGTATTTGAGTCTGCCTATTGCACTAATACTGGCAAAGAAATGCTGGTATTTTTTTCAGTAGGTGGCTCTGTATCTAAGAGAGACAGGGATAGGAAGTTACAGCATCTCCTTCCCTGCCTCTCTTTACTCACTGATCCGCGGGGGAGCAGCTCTATCCCGAGAGTCCAGACAACAGCTCAGGTAAGTGAGGGATGGGGAGAGACAAATTGGAGGACAGTCTATAACAGGTAACACAGGGGGCACAAAGAGGGATCCTGGGAGACACACAGAGACATGGGGACAATGGGGCACCATGGGAGACAGGGGGAACCCTGAGAGACATGGAAACACAGGGGTCCTGGGAAACACATAGACATGGAGATACTGAGGGATCCTGAAAGACACAGAGAGGCATGGGGACACTGGGGCACGTAGAGACATAGTGGAACTGGGGATCCTGGGAGACATACAAATGGGGACACTGAGACACTAGGGGACACTGGGAGACATGGGGACACTAGGGGGCATAGAGACATCCGGACACAGACACTGGGAGACATGGGGACACGGTGGCACACAGATATAAGGACACTAGGGGATCCTGGGAGATATGGGGACACAGAGACATGGGGACATCAAGACACTAGGGGACACTGAGACACTGTGAGACATGGGGACACCAGGAGACATGGGGACACGAGGAGAGACATGGGGGCATTGGGGTACACAGATACCTGGGGACACTGGGAAACATGGTGACACTGAGACACTATAGGGAGACATGAGGACTAATAAACCAGCAGTTCCCAAACTGTGTGCCGCGGCGCCCTGGGGTGCCGCTATGTGCACACAGGGGTGACGCAGAATGTTTCCCCGATGCTATGATTATAGCAACGGGAAACATTAATGCTCAGGAGGGACCAGGTTGAGTGCCATGGTCCTTAAGACTGAGACCAGACCCCCGTAATGTCGGCCGACTGGGAGGAAGTGACACATCTGTGTGTGTATATATATGTCAGTGTGCTTCTGTGTCTGTGTGTGCGCACACATCTGTGTATGTGCCTTTGTGTGTCAAGGTGTGTGTTTTTATGTCAGTGTGTGTATCTGTGTAATGGTGTGGGCATGTATCAATGTTTGTGTGTG